GAGAACCACTGGCAAATGGGCTTGCTGAGAGTCTTCTTTGTACCTTGGCTTGTCCAAGAGTGACTCCCAGTGGTCTTTATTGTTTCCTCTTGGAAGGGGAGGGGGCCTATTGAATCTGCTCAATTTCAGGGACTTCCTGAAGCTGTTTTGAGTTGTGTGTTTTCTGACTTAAAGAGCTTCCCAGGAGGATGGAATGTTTCAATCTGAGAGCAAAAGTGACATGGAAGCTATGGCCCAACACAGTTCAAGTTCCCTGTGATCCAGCTTCTTCAGCTCTGCTGCCTGCCCCCGGTTCCTGCCCAGTCTGCTCCAGTCCCTTCCTCGTCTGCCCATCACAGAACTGTGCCTAATTCTCTCCATAGGTGTGGATCAGGCCACACCTCTTGAGCAGTGCTTCCCAGATAGCAGGAGCTCTGATGTCACCAACTGCTTTCTGGTTGGTGGATCCAGCCAGAGTGAGCAGCCACCATCTTGAATTTGACGTTGAACTAGAGGGGAAGAGAGAGAAATGGGAGTTTTTTTTTTTTGTTTGTTTGTTTTTTTTCATGGTCTAGGAGTATCATTTCTTCCCACATATTTTATCAGCCAAGAGGGATCACATGGCCTTAACTAATCTTAAATAGCCTGTAGTCCAGCCATGATCCCAGTGTGGAAGAGAACAAGAAATGCTTGCGTGGTAACCATTACTAAAACACACACACTGGGCTTCTACTCATGTCTACAGTTCATCTTTATCTGTGAGGCAGTGTCCTATGAATATCCTGCTGGGCCCGGCTTCAGTTTGGCTGTTGTCCAGGCAACCAGGGCTCTGCAGTGTGTAGTGAGAATCTCTCATCTAACTTCTCTCTGCATCTGTCTTGGTACCTCTCCCCACCATCCTGATGTCCCAAGCCTTCCTCACCTGCCACATCTTGTCCCTCTCCATGGGAGGCTGACTGGTCCTGCGGAATGCTCTATTCTCTGTTGTGCTGTGGATTGGGGCCCGTCATTATCTCCACAGTCTCTGGTAAGAGCTCAGGTCTGCCCTCCCATTCCCTCCACGCTCTGTACACACCAGTGGCTGGCAGAATTGTTGAGGCTACATTATGGTAAATTACAACTTATTTACCCATAGGTTGTAATTTTAAAGTTAATAAGCATTTACAGAGTCCCTACTATGGCCCAGCTATTATGCTTAGTGCTTTACAAATACCAGTTCATTTCTTTTTCATAGAAGCTCTTGGGGTGTTTACTGTTTCTGTTTCAGTTTCACAGGGAGAAAACTTAGGCAAACAGCCTATCTCATATGACCAGGTGATTTGTCAAGCGCTTTGGCTCAGATGCGTATACTACTGTAGCAGTGTTACAGGCATTGTAAAACAGACAAAAAAATGTAGAAAGGTCAGAGGGTAAAGCGGAGTTCCCTTTTCTTCCCGAGTTTGAGTTGGGTTGTTCAGGTGTCTCCAAGTGTGTCTCTCCCCTCTATTGATGTGGTTGCTCCCCCTGAATGAGCTGTGTCTTTCCAGAACATGGAGCAACCTAGTCCCTACTGTGAAGGTAGCCCCTGCAGCATACCCACTACTGTTCACTCTGTACTTCCTGCCTGGTTAGTTAAGGCCTGGCTGCTACACTTCTCCTCCCTCTGCTTTACCCCCTTGGCAGCCCCCAAACCAATGGAGGCACTGACATAACATTAGGGCCTTTTCTTTGGACACCTGCCTTCTTCCATACCAGCACCTCCTGCTCATTTCTAAGTCACAAGGCTCAGCCTCGGTGTCCCTTTCCTGTGCTCCACCTAGGCCTCCCGAAGCTTCTGGGTTCGCTCCTCTGTGGACACTCCTCTCTGTGTTCCCTGGCCAGTTTCTGAGCTTGTTTACTATATGCCTATGGTGTGGTAGGTGGACTTCCCTTCTGCTGGGGCCTGCTTCCCCAGGGACTAAGTCAAAAGATTTTCCTCTTCCTTTTCTTCATCAGTATCCTGATGGGTTTGCCATAAGCAGACATTGCAGCTTGCTTGCTTGGTGGCCATGTCATGTGTCAGGTGCTCAGTTTATCTTTTGAGATGTCCCAATCCTCCTAAGGCTGAAGCTGCTGCTGTGCGGGACACTCAGAGTGTTCCGTAGCTACCATCTGTTCTCCTGTGTGAGGGCCTCCTTTCCCCTCCCCTCTGAATAACCACTCATCCTTCCATTGTCCTAGAACTCTAGCAGCCCCCAAACCAGTGGGGCACGGACACAGCATTGAGGCCTTCTCTTTAGGACATCTGCCCTCTCCCGTACCAGCCAGCTTCTGGTCATCTCTAAATCACGGGGCCGTGCTGGATCTTCTGCACTCAGCCCCAGCATCCTTTCCTGTGGTTGGTCTGGGCTTCCCAGAAGCCCCGCCTTCCCTCCGCTCTTGTGCATCCTTCTCTCTGTTGCCTGGAACCTGTGCAAGGCCAGGTTCCTGATGCAGACACCTGGTGCTCCACAGCTGCTTCTGTTGGCTCCACAGACGGTACATTCTTTTATTCTTCACCCCAGTTTTTCATGTCTCACGGGTCAGCTATTAGCCCATGTTTCCAGGATTACCACTCCTCACTGGTAGAAACTCCAGACTTAACATATAACCTCTTCTTTTCACTCACTCCCACATCTTCCAGTCTCCTGGTTCTGCTGACCGGCTCTTCCAGCAAGTTCTGGAGTCTTGACCTTTGATACGCCCTCCCCCACATCTTTTGTCATCTCCGTGTAGAGTTCACATTGACTTTGGACCAATCACTGTCTTTGTGGTTCTCCTTCTAGATCTAAGAACCTGTCCTTCCTAGATGGTGCAGAACACAGGGGACCTGTGCTTCTTGCTGAAGTTTCTCCCATGTCCCACCATCTAGGCCATTGCTTAGCCTGGCCGGTCTCACCATGTTCTAAGACTGGGCTGTTTGTCTCAGGCCACTCACTTCCTCTTTGCCTCTCTTGCTAATAGTTGTCCCCAGATTATTCCAGTGTTTGCCTCCTGCAGAGTTCTCTCAGCGCCCTTAGCCAGCTATTTTGTCCTTTTCTTGTCTTCCTGAGGAGTAGGGTGCCTGCGGCATAGGCAGTGCTGGTGAGGGTGAGGGTCGGTGGGCACATAGTGCTTATTATTCAGAGACTTCGGATGCTTTGCACAAAGTTCACATTCATCCTCGGTGTTGCTTGGAGAAGGAGGGAATCAGACACCTAGAGCTGTGAGCACGTGGGAAGCTTTAGGGGGTTAGACAGGGGCCTGGAAGATCAGACTGGGAAGGCTTCCATTTACATACTTCTGTATGTTCCAGAGGTCATGGAGGCCTGAGCTTCCCACACTTGAGTGCAATTCCAGAGACCTGGGTCGGGGGAGGGGGGGCGGGCTTAGGAAGTGTAGTAGCTGGTTCTACAGTACTGCTGCCGTCCTCAAATGCCCACCTGAGCCAGCTGCTGTGCTAGGTACTATGTGTCTGCTTCCTTCTGCCACTGGATGCCAGGGCAAGGGCCTTCTCCTCCTTCAGGTTAAGAAATGGAGGGTCTGCTAGGCTAGAGAACTTTGCAGAGGCCGGCTGAAGGAAGAGTGCATGTGGAAGGGAAGACTTGAGTCTAGGTCTCTGAGACTCCCAGGATCCATCTCTTGCTATGAGGATCACAGCCTCTGGGAGGCAGCGTCCTGCATTGCTGACCTTCATTCTCCTCCCTGGCAGTCCCAGGGTCCCACAAGTTAAAACCTGCCTGTAGGCCTGTTGATATTTTAGCCTGGCAATAGATGTGCCGGCTAGTGAGAAGCAGGGCTGACATTGCATCCCACCTTCCTTGTCTGTTGCTGGTGTCTTGTGGCTCTTTAGGGAGCAGATGATACTTGGGCACCTTTTCAGGGGTCTGCGACACTCACTGAATCTTGCCCCAGAAGACTGTACTAACACTTTTGAAAGGAAGGCTTTGTCAGTATCTCAGAACCAGCTACAGGCTGAGGACTCTGTGTAGTGGAGGCCTGCTGGATCATGCTGGAAGTAGCAGGAGTAGCTCAGTGACCTTATTGCTGTCTGGATTTCAGGGGGCTGCCTGCTCTCTCCCAGTGTGGACAGGCCAGGACTAGGGTGGGAGTGATGCCGCTCCTGTCATTAGGCTTTATTGAGCAGAGGTGCAAGTGTATAAACAGGGTTTCAGCACTAGATTATAGACTGAGGACATGGCCACTCCAAAGTATGGGGGAGGGGAAGCTTTTTATTGTAGATATGAAGAAGATGCAGCCAGAGGCCTCTGGAAGAGTCCAGAGCAGAGGGAGAAAGTGGTAAACTGAACATGGCCAGCAGACTGGAGTAGGCCATAAGAAGAGAGAGGAGAGTGGAGAGCATGAGAGGGAGAGAAAGAGATTACCAAGAGAGAAGGGGACCAAGAGAGGAGGGCAAGAGAGAGTGCACATGGCCCAAATGGCAGGGTTGTGTGGAATGGGGAGCTGGGGGAAGAGAAGCCAGTGAGCTAGAGAAGTTTAGGGTAGGGGGTGCTGTGAGAAGAGCTGAGGAGAATCATAGGTAGTTGGGATACCCAGTGAGCCTGAAGGCCAGCATGCACTTCGTATACTAATAGGTACCACAAATAGCCATTTGTCCCTTCTGACAGAGATGATGAAGTACCTGCTTTGGTAGAGGGGAACAGGCTCCAGAATTTGGGGGAGTGGAGTTTCCTTTGGAGCTGACTCAAGCAACGGCTGTGCATTGTAAGCCTGGTCTGAAGGACTGCTCGGTGTCCCTGTGGCAAACTCTCAGAGCTGAGTGGTTCTGCAGTGGATGGCCCAGGGCTGGCAGCCCTTTAGCAAATGCCTGGGCCTGGCGCTTCCAAGATGGTGAGGAAGTCTGCTGTAGCTCATTCAGTGAGCTCTTCCCGCACACACATTCTCACCTCTGTTTACCCTGAGCTCACGCTGCTGGGTGCCAAGGCAGACTTTGGGGACTAAACTTGAGTTAGACAAACCCAACCCTTGGAGCAGCTGAGTGTCTGGAGAGCAGAACAGGGACACAGACACATATGCTACAATGGAGGGGTGAAGCACGGGTGGAGGGCAGGACCATACCTCTAATGCGACTTCTTGGAGGTTTCCTGGAGGAGGAGTTTGTGGGCTGGGAGTGTCTGCCATCTCCAGCATGCTGTGGCAGGAGGGGAGAAAGTGAAAGTGGCCGATAGGCATTTGCTGCTTGATGGTGTGTGCTGAACCCAGAGGTGAAGCAGGACGTGGGCACCCTGAGGGGAAGTCTGGGAGGTCCACTCAGTGAGTATGTGGTATGGGGAAGGAGCATGCTACGTGAAGGCTCCTGCCCTCCCTCGGCTCATTTTCATTGAAGAAATCTCTCTGTGGAAGCTGTTGGAAGCAGGGCTCACCTGTCCTTCCCTCATCACAGAGAGACAGGGAGGTGTGAGAAAGCCCGAGGGAAGAGGGAAAGAATGATGCATATTCAGCAGGTTAGCAAGAATGATTGCGAGGCTGCAAAGCTTCCTAAACTGCTGTATTAGCAGGGTGGAACAAATTGGTGGCAGAGTCCCAGAATATAATCCCTTATCAGTCGGCTGTTCTGACAACTGTTCTGGGCCTTTCGTTAATGTGGCTGATAATATTTGACTCTCTGGGGCATTCTGAGATTTAATTAGTTCTGGGGCAATTTAGAATAGGTACTTTAGAATACTAGTGCCATGCTAACTATATAAGAACGCGCATAAACTAGTGTCTACAAACTGTGATGCCCTGGTCTGGAAAACATGTGACATGCAGAGCACTCTGTGACTTGCTGTGGGAATTCAAGGATGGAAAGTGTGGGTGCAAATCCTTCCCTCTGTGTGTGGAGAGTTGGGAACAAGGAGCACAGTGGCAGCGGTGTTGTGGCGAGCAAAGAGCTGGAAGACATCTGTGCAAAAGGAACACAGGTAAGAAGTGTTGCAGCTAGCGTCCTTCTGTATTTGTTACCTCATTGCTGTAACAGAGCATCTATGGAGAACAGCTCAAGGTGGGGAAGATTGATTTTGCCTTCAGTTTGAAAGGATATGGTCTGTCGTGGTGTCTTGATGAACTGCCAGCTCACATCTGGGTACATCAGGGTGCTGAGTGATCAGGGATGATGCTCAGCTCCCTCTCTTTCTCTCTTTCCCCCCTTTTTATTCAGTACAGGTCCCAAGCCAGTGAGACAGAAGGCCCACGTTCAGGGTGGGGTCTTCTTCCTTAATTAATCCTCTTTGGAAACACACACACACCATACACACACACACACACACACGAGAGAGAGAGAGAGAGAGAGAGAGAGAGAGAGAGAGAGAGAGAGAGAGAGAGAGGTGGTGGTGGATTGGTTTCCTGTGTGATTCAATCAAGTGAGCAGCAAAAAATATGAAGAGTAACTATCACAGCTTCCTATGTGCAAGGGTGGGGGACACTCAGTAGAGTTGAAAGTGAATGTGTGGATATGCATGCTTACAGGTCAGGGGCTAAGTGGAATGGGAAGGTTTGAACCTCTGTTGTCACCTAGAATTATCAAGTGCCTGCTGTGTGTATATCTGGTAGTTGATGACTACATGGTGTTCACTAAAGAGAGGCCCTTGCCATAACGCTCTCAGAGAATTGGACAGATATTGTCCTAACATGGTGGGTAGGGTATGGCAGGAGGTCTGGAAGGATGGTGTGGAGCTGCCCTGCAGCCGAGGATCTAGTTCTGAAGTGTGGAGATGGAAGTAATACTTGGAACTTGAAGAGGTGTGGGGAGCATGGGAGAGGGACGTAGTGTAAATTCGGTTACAGAGGAGCAAGCAAACACTCCGTAGGCACAAGGATCTGGTGTGGGGTCCTGAGGTATCTGATTCAGCAGTGAAAATTGATAGAAGGGACCTGTTTTAGAGATGCTGAGGGAAGGAGATGGGAGGCTGTGTTGTTCTTAGCCTGGGAGCTTGAATTGACAGGGGTATCGTCTTTGCCAATCTCTGATGCCAGGGATGATAAACAGGTTTGATAGAAAGGATGAGTTAATTTTGGTTGAAGATCAAGTTTGATAGACTGAAAATGTGCAAGAGGATGCTTTCTGTCAGAGCATGGAGCCAGCGTGCTGGTACAGGGCTTCAACATCAGTGTCCTTAGCAGCTCAGGATGTGAAAAGATGGTCCAGGTCCTGAGGACCTGAGATGACTAGAGGCATGTAGTAGAAAAGCTTGCCTTTGTGGAGAAGTGGGTGTGTAGTGAAGCTCCAGATGAGGCTAGGATAAAGGAGCCACTGGGTCGTATTACCCAAATAGGTAAAGGGCTAGGGTTGAGAGATCTCAGGACTCCGTGGGATTATGTGATGGGGTATCCACCAGAGGAGACTACTTGGACACAGGTTTAAACCAATAGAAAGTCTTTATTAGCTGGGCCAGCAACTACCATGGGTGTCCCAGATCCCAGTGTAGCCCTGAACCTTTCTTAGCGTGAGCTCTTAAGCACAGAAACCATGCTCTGGGTTGACATACTTAAGTTAACAAGAACAGTTAGCCAGAAACAGAACTACAGAAGCAAAAAAGCAAGGTTAATACATTTAGAGACTTTCTCAGAACTATGGACTTTGATGAATTAGGCCTTTGTTTTCATTTTGGCAGGTGGTACTTTTGGCATGCTGAGTTTTTTGGCCTCAGTGGTACTTCTATCATGGAGTCAGTTGTGCTAAGGTCTAGGAGCCTACTAAGGTCTAGGATCCTGTTAAAGTTGGGCTTAGAGATGAAGTTACTCAGTGATCAGTTGGCAGCAAGGGAGTGTAGAAATAAAAATTCACCCTACTCTTTTTTTTTTTGCCTTTTATATCCTGTTGGTGCCTCCAGTGGCCAGACCCAGTTTGAAACCAGATGGCTCTGGTGTCTGTTGTGTGACCCCTGTGGGTCAGCTCTGGGGATGGGAATTGGGTAAAGAAGAGTAGAGGTTAGCCCAGAGAGGCCAGTGGGACTGCTGCAGACCCCAGGGTACGTGGGTCCTTTTCTTCATATCTACCCTTAAAGGACATGTCAGGCTTTGCTTCTTTGCAAAGACTGCCTGTAGTATTCTGCCAGAACACATCAGTGCATGCAGGGTGTCCGGCCCTGGTGCAGGGGAGGCTGGAGCACAGTGTGCACGCCACCCATGAACATCTGCTTCCCTTTCTAAGGTCTGCTCTCTCCTGTGCAGTGTCATCACTTTTGAAAATGCTTTCGTCTCCAAAGGAAATGAAATAGAGAGAATTATGTTAATTTGCTAGGGTTGAAGAGCGACTCTGCACAGATGTCAAGAAATTAAATGTTACCGTTGACAGATTCTTGGGAATACACGAGACTAGGTAGCAGGGTGAGACAGGTACCACCCAATCTCTACCCAATTCCCACTCCCAGAGCTGACCCGTAGGGGTCACAGCTTTCACTAACACAAGGCAAATTAAGGCATGATGTGACTCGGTGATTACCCAAATGGGATACCTTGCAAGGCCCTCAGAAGATGCCTGAAACCTACCTTGCATGGTGCTGAACTCTGTCCGTTCTGTACTGATCACAGTTATGATGATGTTTTTTCCTTAACATAGATGGCTATGATAAGGGTTGATTTAGAAATCTGACACAGGAGACCCATGGCCAAACATTGGACTGCACTTGGGGAGGCCCACTGAGGAGAGGGAGGAGGGATTGTAGGAAACAGGGGGGTCAGGAACATGGCAGGAAAACCCACAGAAACCACTAGCCTGGCTCATAGGAACCAACAACCAGGGAGCCTGCATGTGACCGACTTAGGCCCTCTACATGTATATGACAGTTGTATAGCTTGGTCTCTATGTGGGACTCCTGGGAACCTATTCCTCATGCTGGATGGCCTTGCCCAGCCTGAGTACAAGGGGAACTGCTTGGTCTTATGGCAGCTTGATATGCCATGCTTTGCTGAAGCCCATGGGAGGCCTGCCCCTTCTGAGTAAGGAGGAGGGGTGGATTGGGGGCGGGTTAAGGGGAGGAGGGGGGCGGTAGGGGGAGGAGAGGATGGAGAAGAGGCTGAGGTTGGGATGTAAGCTAACTAACTAACTAACTAACTAAATAAATAAATAAAATCTGACACAGGAAGATTAATAACAATCACTACTAATAACTGATCATGATAACATTGTAATAAAAGTGGCTTAAACTTCTGAATTCTTTATTTCTATAATTTTCAGATTGTGTTTGACCATGTATAAGTGGAACTAGACGAGGTGGGGGGATGACTGAGTTTCAGCACAGACTTGAGCTGGACTTGCAGTGTGGCAGACACTTCCTGAGAACCTCTCCTGTGTGCTTGTTTCCCTGTGAGAGGGCACTGTGAACATTCTCTAGTGAGTCTCACCGTGACTCATTCTGCAGATGCTGCTCGTAGCTTTAGAGAGTTCTGAATGTCTCCAGCAGAAAGGCAGAACAGGATCTCAGCTGTGATGCCCTTGACATTGTATCTGGTGATCTCTGCCATGCCTTCTCAAAGCTGACTTTTACATCCAGTGACATTTCGCCAAGTACCTGGCGCAGCCTATACCAGCAGTTTTGACACCATTATCAGGGCCCTTCAGCAGTGCTCAGAGGATGAAGTTGCAGAGACCAAGGACAAATGTTCGAGGCAGTGATAGGGTGATGTTGGAACCCCACCCACTTCATCTACTTTAGTTGGCATGTCTGAATTGATTGATGGCACCAAAATTGCCTGAGGAGGTCACTTTAAAAGGTCCTACTACTAAAAAGCATTTCAAAAGTCACCATCCCAGTGTGCTGACAGACACAGCTGGAGTCACACAATGCTGAAAATATAATATAGGATTTGATGGACAAGGGGACTTTGGCAAAGGACCTTGTTCTTTGAAAGCATGGATTTATAAAAGCCTTGGGGGGAAAGATATATGAAATGTTTGGCTTAGAAAGGCGCATGCATGTGTGTAGGAATAAAGTTGAGTTCTGGTCACAGCTCTTGACAGTGCTCTGCCTGCAGAGACCAAGGCATCAGCACAGCAGTGTGCCTTTCTCTCTCCTGTGACACCGAGTACAGGAAAAGGACCAAATGGCAGAGACCATCGCCAGGTGTTTTTTTGTGAACCCCACAGCTGCCGATGAGGTTGATATTGCCTTCTGCCCCTTCCTGATGCCACAGCTCATCAGTTGGGACCAACAAAAGGTTGTGGGGGTTGACATCCCCAAGTTGGTCCTAAATCTTAAGGATCTCAGATATATTTCAGCTATTGATGGGAATCTTTTCTAGAACTTGTTGAAAAGTAGTTTTAAACATTCAATAGTTTGAAAATGATCCTCCCTTAGGATTAATTGTATATGCAATGTGGTTTTTTTCCTGTCACTATGATAACTGACTTTCTGTCACTTGTGCTAACTGATTGTAAAGAGGAAAAGTTTATTTTGTCATAGTCTCAGGAGTTTTAATCTGGTCATTTGACTCTGTTCTTTTTGGGCGTATCATGAAACAGTACCCTATGTGGCTGGGGGAGGGGAATTTGGTAGAGCAAACTACTTAACTCATGGTGTTGGCAAGCAAAGGGACTCAGAATGGGCTGGGTCTCATCCCGCTGACCCCACTTTTCACTAGACCTCTCTCTCCTCTCAGAGGTCCCTCCTCCTCCGCTGTGCCACAGGCTGGAGACTAAGCTTTTCAGGTGTTGACTTTTAGACGCACCGCAGCATCCAACAGCATTGTGTAACTACACATGCATCTGCAGCAGAGCATCGGGAGGACCTGGAGTTTGATCTGCACCCCACACCCCATTTACCCATGCTGTATTTACTTTTAGAACTTGGTTGTGTTTCTTAAAGGCCATCAGCTTGGGGCTGGAGTGATGGCTTAGCCGTTAAGAGCAGTGGCTGTTCTTCCAGAGGACCTTGGTCTTTTTCCCAGCACCTACATGGCAGCCTCACAACCATCTGTAACTCTT